TCCTTTATTTGCTGGCATTCTTGACTTTTGACTGCAGTTCTTTTTTATATTTTAGAGTAAATGCTTTTGATATGCTCTTAGGTTTCTTAATATCCGTCTGAAATTCTGGACTGTGGTCATATTTTTCGATTAGGAGTCATATATTTGAATAACTCACCGTGACTAATGTTTTGCATTATGAAGTATATTATTATGAAGGTCAACACACTGTACTTTAGGTAAATATTTACCATCTCGTTATTTCATTATTTCGCTTTCCGGCATTTACAGGAAACGCTTCATTCTAGAAAATGCTATCGCAAAACGGTTGGAAATAATAAATGTAACAGCAGAATACGTCCTAGCACAGTCACTCGACTAGGAGAGTGATTGTGGTCCTAGTAATAAACTAAGTGACTTCCAAAAACTGAATGGTGTTTGCGAACTTCGTATTAGTTATAAACCGACGTTAGCTTCACGTTTATGTCACACCATGGAAACAGCCAAAAACATGGTGCTTGTTTTTGAGCGGAGCGGATTGCCAACCAGCCTACCGGCTTGTTGTTGTTATTAATCACCATTAATCAGAATTAAACAAAATTATTTAATTTTGAAGGCTTTTTGTTGAAATGAAATTACTTGTGAAAAGAAGTTTACCTTCTCATTTGGTAACGTAAAGCTATCATAAAACCCTCCGACTATGATAGCGATGATTTATAAAACACAATATTGACTGAAAACATCACCCTTCAATACTATATTTGCTCTAATAGAGGCAAATATAAACCAAAAATGGAATTTATTATGCACTTGATCATTAATATGAATATTTGATATTTTGAGCACTAACCTACATGTGTACGTACGTCACTTACACAATTGCATGTACAACACAAAAAGAAAATACAGTAAATGATGATCTAATTTTAGATGATCGCGGAGCAATCATTTGCACAATACTGCATACTATAAGTACTAGTACTCGGTAGTATGTGTACCCCACTATGTAAGGAGGCATCATGAAGTTGGCACACAATTTTTCTTTCATTATGTCTACATGTATACAGTTCTGCACATTACATAACCACTAAGAGAGGACGCAACAACAACAACTATGACTACAAGTCAGTGTCAATGACACGTCCCCATTCTGTTCATATTTGAGTGACATATACATTCAAAGCAGAAATCTCAGACCACTGAAAGTGATCCGAATCTGATCCGAAATGCACCTGCATATGTACAACACATTGTACTAAATCTGAACAAAATCCATCCATGCATAACTGAGATCCGGGTCCGGAATGGTGAAAATGTGCGATTTCAATGCATTTTCGGTCTTAAAGCGGCCGCCATTTGGCTATCGTTAATGAGATCATGAAACAAATGCACATACATATTTGTGACATGATGTACCTTGTGTGCGTGAAGTTTGAAATCGATCAATCCAGGCATGTTTCAGATGGAATGGTGAAAATGTGCGATTTTGATGCATTTTCGGTCTTAAAATGGCCGCTATTCGGCTATCATTAATCGGATCATGAAAAAAATGTATGTGCATATGTCCCATATAATGTGTGATGTATGAGTGAAGTTTGAACTTAATCGGTCCATGCATGTTCGAAATACAGGTGATCACGGACGCACAGACGCACGGATGCACACAGGGCAAAACATAAGTCCCCGCTTTCGGACTACGTCCGAACGAGGACTAAAAAGTGCAGCTTTACACCTTTAGATTTGGACTGAAATTATGAACATGTGTTTGAATAATTACACTCATATAGACACACAGTTAAGTGTCAAGTGTTCACGTAAGAGCATTATAATGGTGATGGATAAGACGCTCACTACGAAAACCTGCATCAAACACCAGACAAGCCCTTACCTTGAGCCCTTAAGAAAAAAGGAAAAGAGCACACGCAAGAAACACCAGGCAAAGAGATCTTCAAGCAGAAAGGTGTAATGAAATAATATTCTACTATATCTCTTGCAATAAACATCAGGTGCTGTGTAGGTTTTATGATGATGAACAATAGGGGATCAAAAACAAGCAGTCTGACAATGAGAGATCTCCGCTGTTAGCAATGTACATTTCAATTAAGAACTGAAGATATCATTAGAAAATGAACAAATATGAGAGAGGTCTACCTGAAGTCACTATATACAGACCCGCCAGAAAGTATTTACGCACCACACTACAGGCAACTACTACCTACGATATCATACAATAAAATAAACTCAATAACGGTTTGAATAAATATATTTATATATCTAATAAAATATGCGTTTTTACACACAATAAAAACAACAAAATTGTCATTGTCATGCAGGATTGAATAAAAACGGCAGTCTGAACGAAACAGTGAAAAAACGTTCGAATTCTCTATGGAGAATACCGTGTAAAAGCAAGCTCATGAATATTCATGAAGACATAGAACGCGGCGATTGTCAATAATGCATGTGTCCACCTCTTCGCTGGATGACTTCTCTGAGCCGTTTTGGCATGGTATCGACGAGTTTCCGACACATGTTCACTTGGAACTGTCCCCAAGCTTCCATTATACTCGCGTATAAATCCTCGATGTTAGCAACTGGTCGGGAATGCACCTCTAAATCGATCAACTCCCAGAGGTTCTTAATGGGATTCAAATCTGGAGACTGTGCAGGCCAATTCAAAGTGGTAAAGTTGTCGAAAAAATATCCGTACTCTTGTGGATTATTTAGAAAATCCCTCACTGCCAATGCTGTGTGAACGGGGGCATTATCCTGTTGGAAATGAAAATTGGGTCCAACGAGTCTTAGTGCCGACGGTATCATTTCGTTTTGCAGGATA